AATAATTTCCTAGGATGTAACGGACCTTCTTTGTCCTCTGCTGACCTCTGTCAGTGGCTCCTCTTCCAGAGTGCCTCCCCCAGTGTGCCCTCCCTACCCCGCCCTCCCCTCCCCCAGTGTGCCCCCCCCTGCCCCAGCCCTCCCCTCCCCCAGTGTGCCCTCCCTGCTCCAGCCCTCCCCTCCCCCAGTGTGCCCTCCCTGCTCCAGCCCTCCCCTCCCCCACTGTGCCCTCCCTGCTCCAGCCCTCCCCTCCCCCAGTGTGCCCTCCCTGCCCCAGCCCCCACCTCCCCCATACTGCCCTCCCTGCCCCAGCCCTCCCCTCCCCCAGTGTGCCCTCCCTGCCCCAGCCCTCCCCTCCCCCAGTGTGCCCTCCCTGCCCCAGCCCTCCCCTCCCCCAGTGTGCCCTCCCTGCCCCAGCCCTCCCCTCCCCCAGTGTGCCCTCCCTGCTCCAGCCCTCCCCTCCCCCAGTGTGCCCTCCCTGCCCCAGCCCCCACCTCCCCCATACTGCCCTCCCTGCCCCAGCCCTCCCCTCCCCCAGTGTGCCCTCCCTGCCCCAGCCCTCCCCTCCCCCATACTGCCCTCCCTGCCCCAGCCCTCCCCTCCCCCAGTGTGCCCTCCCTGCCCCAGCCCTCCCCTCCCCCAGTGTGCCCTCCCTGCCCCAGCCCTCCCCTCCCCAGTGTGCCCTCCCTGCATCAGCCCTCCCCTCCCCCAGTGTGCCCTCCCTGCTCCAGCCCTCCCCTCCCCCATCGTGCCCTCCCTGCTCCAGCCCTCCCCTCCCCCAGTGTGCCCTCCCTGCCCCAGCCCTCCCCTCCCCCAGTGTGCCCTCCCTGCTCCAGCCCTCCCCTCCCCAGTGTGCCCTCCCTGCTCCAGCCCTCCCCTCCCCCACTGTGCCCTCCCTGCTCCAGCCCTCTCCTCCCCCACTGTGCCCTCCCTGCCCCAGCCCCCACCTCCCCCATACTGCCCTCCCTGCCCCAGCCCCCACCTCCCCCATCCTGCCCTCCCTGCTCCAGCCCTCCCCTCCCCCAGTGTGCCCTCCCTGCCCCAGCCCTCCCCTCCCCCAATGTGCCCTCCCTGCCCCAGCCCTCCCCTCCTCCAGTGTGCCCTCCCTGCCCCAGCCCTCCCCTCCCCCAGTGTGCCCTCCCTGCCCCAGCCCTCCCCTCCCCCAGTGTGCCCTCCCTGCTCCAGCCCTCCCCTCCCCCAGTGTGCCCTCCCTGCCCCAGCCCTCCCCTCCCCCAGTGTGCCCTCCCTGCCCCAGCCCTCCCCTCCCCAGTGTGCCCTCCCTGCCCCAGCCCTCCCCTCCCCCAGTGTGCCCTCCCTGCCCCAGCCCTCCCCTCCCCCATCGTGCCCTCCCTGCTCCAGCCCTCCCCTCCCCCATCGTGCTCTCCCTGCTCCAGCCCTCCCCTCCCCCAGTGTGCCCTCACTGCTCCAGCCCTCCCCTCCCCCAGTGTGCCCTCCCTGCCCCAGCCCTCCCCTCCCCCAGTGTGCCCTCCCTTCCCCAGCCCTCCCCTCCCCCAGTGTGCCCTCCCTGCCCCAGCCCTCCCCTCCCCCAGTGTGCCCTCCCTGCTCCAGCCCTCCCCTCCCCCAGTGTGCCCTCCCTGCCCCAGCCCTCCTCTCCCCCAGTGTGCCCTCCCTGCCCCAGCCCTCCCCTCCCCCAGTGTGCCCTCCCTACTCCAGCCCTCCCCTCCCCCAGTGTGCCCTCCCTGCCCCAGCCCTCCCCTCCCCCAGTGTGCCCCCCTGCTCCAGCCCTCCCCTCCCCCAGTGTGCCCTCCCTGCCCCAGCCCTCCCCTCCCCCAGTGTGCCCCCCTGCTCCAGCCCTCCCCTCCCCCAGTGTGCCCCATCTTTGCCCCAGTCCTCCCTGTCCCACCCAGCAAATCCCGTCCCTGCTCCGGCCCCCCCACGTCTCCCTTGCACTGCTGTGCAGACTGTGCTTGTCTTACCTTCCGTCCCCGCTCTGAGAGCCTGCCCTCTCTAGGATGCTTTCCGCAGCCTGTTTCTGAGGTCTCTGTAAAGGGCACCCAGAGCCCACGTCAGGGCCTTTACCAAGGTGCCCTTTTGGGGGTCTCCACAGGCTAATCATTTGGGAAATGCAGATGCAGACGACATAAGGCGTCAGCACAGCCACCAGCACGTCCAGGAGAGGACCAGAGCACACCGCTGGCTTAACTCCGCAGTGTCAGCTTCTGACGAGAATGCGGGTCAACCAGACGCTCGTAGCTGTGGTGGACTATACACTGGTCCCGGCAGTGGAGGACTGTCCAGCGGTGGGTACAGTGACACCTGTGCCTGCTCTCTGACCAGACACCCCTCGCTGTGCCAGGGGCGGCCCGCGGGCTGCGTGCACCCTTCCAGCAACTTCGCAAGGAAGGGGGACAGGCCGGGCCACGCGAAGGAAGCTGCGCGTCTCCCCGCTGCTCTGGACTGACTTCCTTTCCCACACTCCAGCGGGGTCGGCCGGAGCCCTCCTGCAGAACTCGATGGCCCTTACATAACTGCTGAGGGCCTTTGTTTGTTTGTGTTTTTGTCACATGCTCCTCTCTTCCTAATTTGACTTCTGTTTGTTTTGTGGTTGTTGTTCCCCCTGAAATACTTCTGCTTTGGTCTATGTGACATTGAGAATGGACGATCGGAGGTGTCCATGTTCGGGGTCAGGTGGTCCCCTACACCTTGGTACACATGTGAGCCGAGTGCCAGCAGTAGCCTGAGCAAAGCACCAAAGTCTCTGCGCGTCTTGGGAAGGCCCAGGACAGAACAAGCCACTGTAGCCGTCAGGGAGACCACTCTGGGCCCTGCCTGCACATTTGGTCCTACGGATCCCCCTCTTGAGCTGAGGGGCAGCAGGCGCCCGTCCTCCGACGGCGGGATGGTGCAGGGAAAAGAGGCCCTGATACATCCACCCAGCCCTGGGGTAGCGCCCGGCTCTCTCTGTGGCTTTTGCCAAGCCTTGCTGAATCTCCACTTTCTCATTTACAACACGGGGTACCCCTGCCAACCTCCCAGGGCTGCTGTGGGGACCCAGGCAACGCGAGACAACGGGCCTGAAAGCAGTCCGCAGCTGCACCGTGCTGGCCGGGCAGCAGAGCAGCGTGGCCGGAGTTCTGAGGAGCCCAGTCTTAGGGGTGCTCATCGGCGTCACGTGGAAAAGAACTTTCCCAGCACTGAAGACCGGGTTGGGAAGTTCTGGGTTAACAGAGTACGAAGCGGCTCCTCGCTGCAGGATTTCTCGGACTCGCGTGAGTGATTTCTCTGAATCTCCGTGAGTGTTTTCCAAATGGTGTATGAGACGATCATCAGGTAGAAAACTGGGAGGGGGGGTTCCACACAACACCCTCTGCTAGAAGCAGCAGATCAGACAAGGCGACCGTCCTTCAGTGAAGGGCACAGGCATCAGATTCCTTGCCAGCTGTCAGGCTAATGCTTGGGTCACCCGAGACATCAGACACGTTGGGTGGCTAGTTCGTCTGCCCTGTGGACAGGCACTCGGGCTCTTGACACCAACAGTGGCCCAGGAGGAAGCCACGTGTGCGGGACCCGAGCGAGGTCTCCCAGAGTCAGCACACTCCTCGGTCGCCCTTCTGTCAGGAACTGCATGTGGCTGTGTTTGGACTCCCTAAATGAACCCCACTTTAACACTGTGCAAAGCTTAATCTCTCGATTGGGGAGAAAACGTTGCCCTGGTCAGAGCTCCCAGATGAAGGGCCCCCGTGATGCCCTGCTGCCCGTGGGCACGGCACAGTCACTCCCACGAAGATCGGGGTCACTGCTGACTTCACCCCCCCATTAGTTTATCCCAAACCTCTGTTTTCTGCCCCAGAATCATCGCTTTTTAGATCTCTTCATTGTGGCTTCTTTACCACCATCACCAGCACGTAGCTTATTTCATAGAAAAGTAACATTGTTTGGTTGCATAAATCCCTTCAGAAGATTTCTGAGTCTCTGTGAGTGGTGATGAGGGAGCGGGGTCTCCCCCGCTCCTCTCCCTCCTTCTCACCACGGGGACCCCCGCTGCCGTCCGCCCCTTTGCCAGAGGCGGGTGGAGTTTGGAAAGACCAGGCCTGGCTCAGCTCTGTTCTTTCCTCTTGAAAGAGAGCTCCTGGGGGTCTTGGTGTTGCCTTTGCTTCAGCAGGTAAATCTGTTCGGTTCTGGGGTGCTTACCAAGCTCACTCTGGCCCTCCGATTTCTGAGTTTGCAGTCCCGGGGACAGGGGAGAGGTGGCCACTTACTTCTCCTCAGGTGATACAGAAGACTGAGGGGACCGTACTGCTGCAGCGTCAGAGGAGGAGGCGACACGGGCCGCCCGCTCCGTGAGACAGAAGCCGTCGTGGTGAGCCTGGGGGCACTCCGGCCAGGCCCGCGGTGCCGCGCGTGCTGTTACCTCGCCTGCCGCTCACGGCGCGGGTGCCGCTGTGAGCTCCGCGCGGACCAGGAAGCCCAAGCACACTGCCGAGAAACCGCAGCCGAGGTCTGAGCAGAAGGAACGGCCTCCCAGGGGAGCTGGACCCTGACTGCAGGTAGATCCGACCAGCAGAGAGAGCAGGGAAGATGGTAAGTGAGCAAACATGAGATGGTGGGACCCTCTGAGGCATGTCTGGAGGCCAGTGAGCACCCCAAGTGGCTGGAGTGGGGGTTCATGGCAGAAAGGGAAACCTGGGCAATGCAGGTGGAGTTGGAGGAAGGCTCAGGGATTTTCCACGTCCGCCTCTCACCAGTGGAGAGAGCTGTCCTTATTCTCACATAACATTTTTATTACAAAGAGAATGGCCTTTCTTCTCTCGTTCATTCGTTCAGTTAGTACCTAGAGCCGAGGGTGTGCAGACGTGGGGAGGCGGCGGCAGGCAGGGAGGTGTGGCCCCTGGTCCCTGGCCCGGGCGCGCCCCACGGGGTGTGTGCACAGGCTGTGCACCCCAGCTCCGGCATCAGGCTCCCAGGATGGCCCCCCTTCTGGGAGACCCTGCTGATATTGTCCTTGTTCGAGGGGCTAGAAACCAGACCCTGGTAACGCTCCACCCTGGGATGTCCCAGAACCCACGGCAGAGGCCAATTCTCTAATCACGTAAAACAACTAAGCACTTCTTAGCTTCTCTTTTCAGACCAGAGGGGCCAGTTTCTCGACCTCTTCCCCGACGGGGGTTCTGCTGAGCCAGCGGGCTGAATGCTGACTCCACAGCTCCCCCAGGCTGGGTCCAGCATGCCCAGATGCCCTCCCAGCAGAGTGCTTGTCCGTTCTTCTCTTTTCTGTCATTTGAAGCACATGGGACAGTCCTACGTGCATAGCAGGTGTTTATAAACATGTGGTAAATTTCATCCACTTGTCCACTTAGCCAGCTCTGTACCCAGCACCATGCTAAGTCCCTGGACACATCAGCACGCCAGAGGCCCGGGGCTCTGCCCCGTGAAGCTCATGGCACAGTGGTTCTCTACCCCTACGTTTGTTTAGCCCTTTTACATATTTACCTAGCTGGCTCCCCAGCACCCCTGTGATGTGGTTGTTATTATTCCTAGCTCACAGGTGAGAGAGCGGTGGTCTAGCAAGATTGCGTGATGAACCCAAGGTCATGAGGCTATAGGCACTGCCCCTGAAACTCCAACCCATGTTTTCTTGGGTTGTGTAGACCTGTGCCAAGACCTGCCTCGCAGAGTCTCCTATTGAGCTCTGCAGAACAGTGAAGTACCCCCTAGGCGTCATCCTTCCCGCACAGGGAAATTCCAATATTGTTTTATTATCCTGCCTCCGTGGGATTGAAAGCAATGCTTATTCAAGAATTATCACCTCTTCCTCAAACGTGAGCAGTGCCCCGCAAATGCAGAACCCCTAAAACACTGGGCATCAGCGATCTTGTCAAGGGTTTCTCAAATGGCCATGGAGTGTGCGATCTCAATCATAGAAAAGGAGAACTCCAGCAAAGTTGATATCTTTCTGAAAACTTGCAAAACCTGATAGCCTGTTCAGAAGGGGAAGTTGAGTTGTTTCCCACCTTTCTGATGTCTCTGAACAGATGGTACCTCCGCTTCATCGGTGGCAAGACCTAAGCTGTCGCTGGACACATAGAGGACTCTGCTCATTTAGCAGGTACCACTCATCTTTTTATTCTCGTCTGGGGGAGAACTCATTAAACACGACAGAAGGTGTTAATGTAGAAGAGACTGCCAGGTTTCTCGGAAAGGGGGGATGGAGCGAGGGGTCTAGGTGGGTGCAGTACCTCCCAGGAGTGCTCGTGGATCAAGGGGGCAGAGGGGAGGGACATCCACCCCAATTTAGTAGGTAACATGGAGCCAAAGTGGAACAGTGTGTTGTGAAAAATGTCATTGTCTTCTTGCTTTCTCCCATTTTTCCTGTCTGTCTCATGCCCATACCACGATATGTCTGCCTCTTCCTCTGATCCAAACTCAGCCTTTTATGCTTCCTCGGTCAATATGCCCATAACCGTGCCCGTATTGCCTTCCCTGGGCTTTCATAGACGCTCAGCTATTGAGAAGATGACCACTGAAAAGGGTCACACTTACTAGTTTTGTGTTTATTGGTACTGAATGGTAAGAACTGGTGAAAATATGTTCACATATATATGTGTACATACATGTATATATTACATATGTATATGTTTCAAGTTTTCATTGAGAATCCACTCTGAGTAAGACCATTAGATGAATCAGTTGACTGATTTAGTATCTTTTTGTCTGGATCTACAGGGTTGACCGTTTTGCCGGGACCTGTGTTAGAGGGTAGGGATAGAGAGCTTTGTTAATCCGGGGCAGCTTGGATTGGCTGGAGATGGAAGTTGACTGTTGTTTCACACGTGCTTTGGGGGAGGAAGGGGGGAATGTGGGGTCTTGAGCACGCGGAAGCAATAGGAGCTGGAACACATTCCCAGCTCTTGTCGGAAGGTGGTGATGATAACATTGAACCACACAGGCCGAGTTGCTTCTGCTGGGAGAAGCATTGTTGACTCAATAAGAAAAAAACCCAGATATACCCTGCGGAATAAAAAGGGCACAGACAGATAATTCACAGGAAATATGCATGACTAATAGTGACAGTTTTAAAAGAAATGAAATAAATGTTAGTTACAACAATTATGAAATCCCTTTGGCCATATCATTGGCCGAATAATTATCTTCTGTTAGATCTTCCCTGTGTTGGTGGATGCTTGCTGATTCGGGCAGCATCACCTACTGGTACCAAAAGCATATATACACTTTCTGGAAGCAACCTGGCGAAATGCGTCAAGAGCCTTAGAAATGTGACTGCAGGTAGAAACGGTGCTTTGGGAAACCTACTTGAAGGAAATAATAAAAAATGCAGACAAATATGTTTATTGCAGCATTATTTATAAAAGTACAAATTGGGAATAACTTAGGTATGCATTAATAAGACAATGATGAACTAACCACAGATAGCTGTACAATATGTTGGAATCACTACAAACTGTATTTTCTAGTAATTTTTAACCACGTGGAACTAGGTGCAGGATAGGAAATTTAAACTCTCAGAATACAAGATACTCTACAAGGGTGATTTCAGTGACCACACCCATGGCACGTCGAAGAGAGACAGTGGTTTTCTCTCCATGGCACAGGTTGGGGTGGAAGGACCGAGGGCCAGGAGGCTTAACCCGCTGGTCCTGCTGAACACCCCCAACCACACTATTTGACGGCATAGGCTTTCGTTCCCTGTGAAAACACATCCTCACGATCATCTCTCAACTAAGTGACATATCAGCCTATGTACTAACACGAAAAATCAGCCACATTTGAAACATCTGCTACTGAAATATAATGAGCATAATGTTTGGACAACAAAGTTGGTAAGAATATTAGAAATCACTTAGCAGGTGGGTGAAACCAACCCACTTAAAATGAGCTGAGCAGGCTCCAAGAATGGGGTGCAACCTTTGTTCTAGTGACTAATGAGGACGACTGGAGCTGAGGAAGACCTGTGCTGCCCTAAAGTACCGATGCTGAGACGTGTGCAGTGGGAAGAAGAGTGCACGTACTCACGATTTTGTCCCGGAAAGTACCGATGCTGAGACGTGTGCAGTGGGAAGAGGAGTGCACGTACTCACGATTTTGTCCCGGAAAGTACCGATGCTGAGACGTGTGCAGTGGGAAGAGGAGTGCACGTACTCACGATTTTGTCCCGGAAAGCACCGATGCTGAGACGTGTGCAGTGGGAAGAGGAGTGCACGTACTCACGATTTTGTCCCGGAAAGCACCGATGCTGAGACGTGTGCAGTGGGAAGAGGAGTGCACGTACGCACGATTTTGTCCCGGAAAGTACCGATGCTGAGACATGTGCAGTGGGAAGAAGAGTGCACGTACGCACGATTTTGTCCCGGAAAGTACCGATGCTGAGACGTGTGCAGTGGGAAGAAGAGTGCACGTACGCACGATCTTATCCCGGAAAGTACCGATGCTGAGACGTGTGCAGTGGGAAGAGGAGTGCACGTACGCACGATCTTATCCCGGAAAGTACCGATGCTGAGACGTGTGCAGTGGGAAGAAGAGTGCACGTATGCACGATTTTGTCCCGGAAAGTAGAGATGCTGAGACGTGTGCAGTGGGAAGAGGAGTGCACGTACTCACGATTTTGTCCCGGAAAGTACCGATGCTGAGACGTGTGCAGTGGGAAGAAGAGTGCACGTATTCACGATTTTGTCCCGGAAAGTAGCGATGCTGAGACGTGTGCAGTGGGAAGAGGGGTGCACGTATGCACGATTTTGTCCCGGAAAGTAGAGATGCTGAGACGTGTGCAGTGGGAAGAGGAGTGCACGTACGCACGATTTTGTCCCGGAAAGTAGCGATGCTGAGACGTGTGCAGTGGGAAGAGGGGTGCACGTATGCACGATTTTGTCCCGGAAAGTAGCGATGCTGAGACGTGTGCAGTGGGAAGAAGAGTGCACGTACGCACAATCTTATCCCGGAAAGTACCGATGCTGAGCCGTGTGCAGTGGGAAGAGGAGTGCACGTATGCACGATTATGTCCCGGAAAGTACCGATGCTGAGACATGTGCAGTGGGAAGAAGAGTGCACGTATGCACGATTTTGTCCCGGAAAGTAGAGATGCTGAGACGTGTGCAGTGGGAAGAGGAGTGCACGTACGCACGATTTTGTCCCGGAAAGTAGCGATGCTGAGACGTGTGCAGTGGGAAGAGGGGTGCACGTATGCACGATTTTGTCCCGGAAAGTAGCGATGCTGAGACGTGTGCAGTGGGAAGAGGGGTGCACGTATGCACGATTTTGTCCCGGAAAGTACCGATGCTGAGACGTGTGCAGTGGGAAGAGGGGTGCACGTATTCACGATCTTATCCCGGAAAGTAGCGATGCTGAGACGTGTGCAGTGGGAAGAGGGGTGCACGTATTCACAATTTTATCCTTGAGAGGTTCTAGCGCAGGTCCAGGAGGGAGCACCCTGCCCACGGGGCAGCCACAGCTCTGCACGTAACCGTGCGGTTCTCGGCGAGTTCTTCCCCGCTTGTGGTTACATGTGTTTTCCTACAACGCCGTTAAAGTCCTGCTCTCTGGAGAGTCACCCCTCTGTCTATGGGAAAAGCTATCACATCATAGATTCTTCTATCTTAAAGGGACCTAAAATATTGCCTAATCCAATCCTTTAATGAAAAAGATTAGAAAACTTGGGTTCAGACCAAAGACAAATACTAGCCACAAAGAACAAACAAAAAACACTAAAATTAAAAATGAATCTGAAGACTTATATTTTTTTGATACAGAACATTCCAAGTTGTGCCCACAATAGCTGACATCCTGGAACTCTGTCATCTAGCCAGTTCTGTACTCCACCTTGACACTACCCCTCTGCAAATGCCATGCCTGAGCCAGACCCAACATTTCCAGTGAATTCTCTGAACAATGAAAAGCAGAGCAAAAACTGTCTCCATCTTAAGTCATTTAAGAAGCATTTATTGAGCAGTTAGTATGTGTCAGGCATTACCCTGGGCACTAGTCCTGCACTGTCCAACATGGTGGCTACTTACCACGGGTGGCTATTTAAATGTAAATTAAATTAAATGAAAAGTTCAGTTCCTCACCCTGGCCGGTTTGGCTCAGCAGTTAGAACGTCGGCCCGTGGACCAGAGAGTCCCAGGTTTGGTTCCCGCTAAGGGCACGTACCTCGGTTGCAGTTTGTCCCCGGCCCCGGTGGGGGTCGTGTGGGTGGCAGCCATTCAATGTGTCTCTCGCACATCGATGTTTCTCTCTCTCTCTCTCTCTTCTTCTCTCCCTCCCACTCTATCTGAAGATAAATGCAAAAATGTCCTCAGGTGAGGGGCGAGGGAGTTCAGTTCCTCAATAGCCACATTGTAAGCGCTCGACAGTCAGTGGCTAATGTGGCTTTATTGACAGTACATATACGAAACATTTCATCCCTGCGGAAGAGTTCTACTGGACAGGTCTACCCGATGATTATTTTTCAGACTGACCCAGGTGTCTGTGGAAGGAGGTGGAAGGAGTTGGGGGGCTGGCCGGCTTGTACGGGTGAGAGGCAATCAGAATAGCTCGATGCACAGGTAGTTAGATAAACAAAGGAAGAGATAGCTGGGTGGAGCAGAGGATGGAGGAGCAGCTGGTAGAGGTCCTTCGCTCTGGATGATTGATCTATTAATTTGGACCAAGATTGAATTGGCTCTTGGGGTTCTCACATCACAGTTTTGGCTTCTAAAGAGCTTGCAGCTGAGGATATTCTTTGTTGTACCCCTCAACTTTCCCTTTTCTTCTCACCTAAGCTTAGGGAGGTTGTAGGGCATGTAATTCAGAGACAGAAAACAGATGGATACAGCCCAGCCAGAGTGGCTCAGTGGACTGAGCGTCATCCCATAGACGAGAGATCCCAGTTTGATTCCCGGTCAGGACACATGCCCGGGTTGCAGCTCAATCCCCAGTAGGGGGCGTGCAGGAGGCAACTGATAGATATCTCTCTCACATTGATGTTTCTCTCTCTCTCTCTCCCTTCCTCTCTCTTTAAAAACAATCAATGAAAACATATTTAGAAAAACAAAACAGATGCATACATTTAGGAGGGACTTCCTATCACATCTTCTTCATTGGGTCGGGCTTCTT